CTTACACTGCAATGGCCAATACGGTTCCGTTTATGTGGCAGAATAACCGTACTCTACGTCACAGTTCATCTTTCTGGAGGACTTAACGCATGTCATCAGGATTGGACCCATACCACAGGACCGACCACGCTCGTAGAGCCAAGCGCACGACATATCTCCTGGGCTAATCGGTTGGATCTCTTCGAGTAGTCGTCAAAGGCTGTTCATCCGATCCAGTGACGATTAATGCTGGAGTTCCTCAGGGATCCCTCCTATTCGCTATTGCACGAATGGGCAGGTCCGTCTGGGTACGTACCACGACATTACAGAAGACCAGCGTGAAGTAAAACTGTTATAATTTTGCGTTTCGTCTGGGGAGTGGGTAGCCGGGGCCCACTTTATTAAAAGGTGACTTGCATCTACAGCCCTACGGGTGTTTCAAATGTCAATGGGTGGTAGTTATCACTCTCACATATAAAAAAACCGGCCAAGTGCGAGTTGGACTCGTGCAAGAAGGGTTCCTTGCCATTATCTATAAAATCTTCAAAAAAAACATGTCTGTTGTATGGGAGCCCCACTTAAATATTTTTTCATTCTCTTTTTTTTAGTATTTGTTTTTTATAGTGGCAACAGAATTACATCATCTGTGAAAATTTTAACCAACTATCAGTGTTCATGAGATACAGGCTGGTGACAGACGGACAGACAGGCAGACGGCGGAGCCTTAGTTATAGAGTCCCGTCTTACTTTTTGGGTACAGAACCCTAAACAGTAATATCTTAGTACGAGCAAGAAGTGAGTTTAATTATATATATAAGTGATAGATCGCTTCAACCGTGACGCCGCGTCGGCCGCGTGTGGCGTCGCTAATTTCAAACAAACCGCCCCGTCCACTAAAAGGGTTTGACGCGATACGTCCGAAAAAAAGGAATCGGCCGTAACAGCGCACTTTGATGCCGTATCGCGTTGCATCGGCCTAATTGACGCCATCTTTGATCTCATCCGGCTATTTCGGTTCTGTTTTTATTGAGATCGGTGTAGTGACGCTAACTGATGGGTCCTAACTCGTGTTCGACCAGTCTCAGTTTCTAATAACTGATATCGAAATATTTTCTTCTTATAAATTTATATATACATTATAGTTATGGTTTACTTATAAATATTTTTATTAGCGTTACTCCTTTAGTAGAAATAGTATTTGATTATTCTAAAAAATATTTAGTCAATTTTCAAAATTTATGTTAAATAACGCAATTATCAATTTACTGCTTCAACGAATAAACAAAAAAAATCTCATTAGCTATATCATTATTACGAAATTGAAAATGAATTTTACCTCTCTAATATGACACCTACTAAATTGTTCATGAAAGAGCGGCAGTAAAGTGAATTTTTGAAACGGGAGCATTTCGAAAATGATATCGATGTTCTCTCTACTACCAAGTGGTTATTAGACAAGTGTTGGTACCAGTAGTATCGATACATTATACATGCGGCGCATCACTATCGCTCTGGTCTGACGCGCTGCAGGCCGGTCGTAATGGCACTGTCACTCTTCGACGTTCCTTTGAGAGATGTGTTGATTCATCGGGCTGGTTTATCCCTCAGTGGTGGCCTTTTAAGGGGAAGCTCGGACTCCGATCTAATGGTGGCTAGTTCGAATCATAGTGATGTGCTAGAGTTGATTTCTAATTTTTATGGATATCAAATGAAAAATTGTTCTGCCGTACAGCTCGGTATACGGTGAGCCATCTGTTGATAATAGACGACTTGGTGTTGCATTGATATAGCTGAGAGCTTCCGTGATCGTTGGTTTGATTCTCACACGGACAAGTGCCACAGATAATTTTTCTGGACCTTGGTATTTGACCACGTAAAATTTTTGCAAACAAGGTTGTGTAATCAATTCATCGGATTGCGGCTCAGACCTCACCCGGAGCTACACCCACACATCTATGCTCATCATCGCAGGGTGTGTGCATGTCATCAACTGACGCCGCTGATACTTTATGAGTGGGGCAGACTAGGCCGAAGCTTGTTCATCACAATCCTGCAAAGCCATTGATTACAAACGAATCAGGCGATAAGTTTCTCCCAAGCGATTGCCGCACTATAGGTGCCGTACTATACGGCGTTGCATGTCTTCGTCCTTCGCTTTATTGGCATTAGAGGAAGAACTTTAATGCCAATAAAGCTGGACAGGAGCATAGACGTATCACACACTTGTGCCCCGAACAATTCGGCGTTCCAGTTTCATGTCCAGATGCATAGACGCAGGCATCGAAGATTGCTGGGCGATTCTCTCGTACTGAGGCCATGGGTGGTGGTAATTGCGCTAGGTCTTTTGAAGCTCCCTCTAGTTTGCCATTTTTTCTTAGGATAATAGCTTAATTCCGGCAGAAGAGATAGTTTTTCACCAATTACAAATTAAAGAAGGAGAGAAGAAGCGTCTTTTTCTTAAAACCAACACTTGCTACCTCTTTTTACTTAGTAGTAGAAATTAGAATAGATAGTAGATAGAATGAATTTTACTTAGAATAGATAGTAGATAGTAATATTTAAAACAATATGTATCTATAAAATACGTACATAATGTACATTTGTGTTATCGACTTCAGTATAAATTGTTTAAAGAGTATATTTCATCGCATCGGAAATAGCTGACCTTAACAGCACAACGGATGCCATCTTAAACACGCTATACGATAGCAAAACAGTGTTACTCCACGTAGCTAATCAATTCAATCGGAAGATTATGGCGGAGAGATTGTGCCGGGGTCTGGACGGGGCTGCATTATTTACGCTTCGGGAACACGCGATGGTTAGGTGGCACAGTAATATCACACGACCGGTTTCATCAACAAGTCCCGGCTTCAAGTTTTCGTATTTAGTAAAATATGTAGCTGCTTACATAACTTTCTAGGATCCTTGCTTGATATTCTAAAATTATTATTTTGAGGTGCTACTCAGAAAAATCAGTAAGAATTTTCGTGGATCAAGACCTAAAGCTAAAAGAAAACACGTAAATCGAATTATTGATTTTTATATTGTTCCATTTTATTGCATGTTGTCCCTAAAAAGCCGCATGCTACAATGTGATGTGGTAAACAGAATATAAGCTGCTCAATTTATAATCTTTATGTGCTTTATCTTCATAACCTTATTTGTCAAGCGATCGTACGATATAAAAGGCAATCTCATTTAGCTCTCATCGATTCAATAACGCCCGCGGCATATTAATGGGAAGTCGACTTTGAGACGCAAAATGGCTGCGGTGACTTGGTAGGTAAGAATGTCATTTCCTCTGATCGAAGATCGCGGGTTTGTGTTCCATTTGGGTGCATTCCTTTTCGTACTAGTTCGTAGTATTGTACTTTGTTTTCAGGTCCTGGTACTATGTTTGTATGTTTTGTTTCGGTCTGATGGCTCCAACTCTATTGTCTAACACCAAAAGTAAGAAACTGCTTTTAAGAGTTATTTTACAAACACAAATTCATTCGGAAATAAGTAACCAATATATCTTTGTGTGTTCTTTATTTTATCCAAGAAATACTATATAATCATTACAGATGATATTATATAATTGTCTGTATCTTTATCTTAACTTATAACGTTTTAGCTTTTGCGATTTATTCGCAATAGTCTAATATTTGTAGCCAATCCTACCTATCATCGAAATAACGGTACAGGTTATTTCGATGATCTCTTTCGTTCAAAAATCACTTTTGCGTATTTATGTTTGACGGAAAACAGTGGAACTAAGCTATGTTTGACTAACCCAGTAGAAGTGTTCAAGTTTCCTATTTTAATTTTCTATGGAATGGTTCACGTAATTTTTTTCCTATTATATATATTAGCACAAACATTTTGCACAGCAGTATAACTGCTCTTCGGCACAATTAGGCGGGTACGTTTAAATAAAAACTTAATGAAATGAGTAGATAATAATAAATTTCCTCGTCCGGTAGGCGTTCCTAAACTAATCATGCGAGACGAAACTTGTAATGTCGCTTAGTGAAGTAATAGAAAAATAATTAAAGAGGCAGTGGGACGTGTGCCGATAATCAGCCACGAAAACAAAGAGTAGCCGCGCGTCGATCGATCATCGATGACGCTGCGTTATACGTCCTGTAATTTGGACGGTAGAGTCGCGACCAGACGATAGAGAGAAAACAACTCACCGGCGCCATTTAAGCGATCGTTGGGGCACTCATTAAAACCACCGCCGCCCGCCCCCTTTACCCCTCGCCGATAAATATCGTATTTCTGACAAATTAACGGAAGGGCCCGTAAAAAAGTTTTAGTGGTGCCGACGACGCGCGTCCGCCCGTCGTAAATAGAACAGGCGGCTTGAAAGGTGCAAGCAACTTCGTCATTCTGCCTCTTCTCGAAACGTCTAGAAGTTTCCTCGGTTCACCGATTCAGAAGTAAAAGTTTGGTGAAGTTATGTTGTCTGTGAACAAAACCAAGGTCGATAGCCCTAATGACATATCGCAAATGATTGTTGCATGTCATAATTTTATTACAATTAATATACACTAGCGTCCCGTCGCGGCTTCGCATGGATGCAATGTATTATACATATATACCATCCTCTTGAATCACTCTATCTAGTAAAAAAAACCGCATCAAGATCCATTGCATAGTTTTAAAGATCTAAGCGTACATAGGGACAGACAGACAGCGGGACGACTTTGTTTTATACAATTTAGTGATTCTGTGATCATTCTTAACGAACATAAATTGATACTAGATTAATATTCATGTATTGACATGGACTAACCGAATCTTGATAGACAATGCAATTATATCCTAACAGTTGACAACCAGACCAGCTGTCAACTGTTTTCAGAGATAATCTCAAACACGTGAGTTTTTAATTTTAATTACGGCAGAGCGGGAGGCGAAAGGAAACGTCACGATTCGATCTCGTCGCTCCGAAAGCTCGGGCGCCTTGCAAGCCCCGGCGGCGCCTTTGATGCGGCGGCCTGTTTACACTAAGCTAACTGAGAAACAAGTCATTTCAGCGGGGCGTCTGGAGCGCCGCCGGCTTTGATCTCGCCGCCGCCGGGCGCTTTTTGCCCGCCGCGTTGAATTATCGCCCGCGTCCTGGCCGCGACGGGGCCCATGCTGCCGGGTTACGCCGAAACTTAACACACGATTTCGTCCGTCATCGAGGCTAATTAAATGCGGCATGGGCGGATGATAATTTTAATAGTTTACGTATTGGAAGCGGAACTATTCGATGCTAGCGATTTTTGCACGGCTTCAATATTTAATAGAACCCACTGCTTATGGATGTATACTTAACTTTTGATTGCCTCTAATGTTTTTTGTATGCAATATTAGTCTCAGTTTTTAAAAGAATCCGAAAACTTTATGTAAAATGAAATCTTGTTTGCCACTAACGACTTCTGCACAACTTAAGATTTGAGATGCGATTTCTGTTGATGAACGATAGCAGTGGCAAAGCTTTAAGCTTGTTAAAACTATTATAAAATCTTAGTAGGTTATAAATATATATTTTGAGTTTGTTTATTTATTGAAATTGTTAAAAATTGATAAAAACTGATAAATGGTGGATTCAATTGTATTAAATAATAATTACTTTTTATTTTTTATTCATTATTTTCATCAGTCAGTTATTTCATCATTCAACGTATTTAATTTGAAAACACTTCCAAAAACTTTCTAGTATTTATAGACCATTTTTGATGATAACAATTTGCTTAGTCAGGTAGGTACATATCTATTAATTTCATAATAATTGAAATCATAATTAGTGACTAAATGATAATTGCTTAATCAGAGTGCTTTTAAGTAATAACATAAAAATTTTACTTGTACAATTAAATTAAATTATTGCTAATGTAGCTACTTTTCATTTTATATTTTCTTTTTTCTTCCTTAACTTCCACGCTTTGTACGAAGTTCGTAAGAAGAGAAAAAGTAACGCACCATCGTGTGTAATAAATCTTACCTATAATGCATAAATCCTTATTCTACTGACAATTGAGTCATTTCGTTCTGATATATCTTTGAAACGGTTTAAAACTTCTTTGAGAATATTGTTTACCAACTAAATACTTAAATAAATTTATACCCTACAATCAGTAAATAGAGTCCACAGAATAAATCATTATTTAATGTCAGGAGTTCATTGCACATAGATTCTAGGTTCTAGAACCTAGAACCTAGAATCTTACCTAGAATAGGAGATGAGATATTCAACAACACAGTTCAATTTACGTACAGTATTTCATTATTACCGGATTTCAGCTTGCAAGGGGCATAACTAAACGACAGAGCTCTTAATGCTGAAAGCGAAAACATCATCCGATATCGAATTATTCGGTACAGCCGACCAAGAGAGTTTCGCCCGAGAAGGCGAGCGGCGGGAGTGCAGCAGGCGAGAAACTTCGACGGAGCTTCGTAAAAAGCCGTAACGAGCGAGGCGTGCTGAGGGTGGGGCGTGCGCGGCCCCTCCCACGTGGCGTCACAAGATGGCCGCTCTCTGCAACCGGCCGACTATCTGCATTAAACATGCAACAGCCAACACGCCGGCAACGCAACAGTTGCGAACGTGCATTGTGTCGTATCGCGTGCTTTCACTGTTATAAATTTTTAGGTTACCTTGTTCAGCACGGTGTAGCAAGCATTTTGACACGTTTATTTTGTATGTAATATGATTGCCTATACTTTTATAATCGTCACACTTTTGGTTCGATGAAATTTTGTTTGGTTTGTCTAAAATAAAATTGGTGACACCAAATAATAGTTGGTCAGATTAATCAGAAATATTACAAAAAAATCTTCATCTTTCTAGCGGCGAAACATTTGCAAAATTAATAAGTTAATAAAAATATTTCTTCTAGTTCAGACATCTACGACAGTTAGTAACTACTTAGTTAAATTACAAATACACATAGCATTATTGAAAACAATGATTTCAATAATGTTTCGTGTGTCGATATAAAAATATCTTGCGATTTCAAGAACAGTAAAGAAGTTTGAAGAATTAAGATCATGTCTTATTCGTAGTACAACTAAGCCAATTACAGTTCAGTAGATGTCAAGTTTTCATTTATTTAATTTTATTTCAATCGATCAGAACCTTAGTGGCTCGGTGTACGGTCGCTCGCCTTTAATTATGTACTGAAAACTGAATTCACATCTAGTTTTCGGCCCTAATGAAATTATTATTTGCAGTCGCAAGTGCTCTTTCATCACAAATATTTGATGGTAAAGGAAAACTTCGTAAGAAGTTTATCTAGAAGATATCAAAAATAAAAAATATATAAAAAATACTTCAATAATAGTCTAAGGGTTCCTTGGCGTAATACCATCAGAAACAATTCTTCATTTATACATTTCATTATTTGTATCTCTGTACTTACTTGTGTTTGTTCAAAAATGGATACAGGAAAAACAGATCTAATATCATAAGACTTAAAAGGGATATTGCGTAGACATTGCTTTTGCATCTTCTGTCAATCACAGCGCTTTGATGTCCGATTTGGCAGATGGGTGCACGTTTGATTTACAGTGTAGCAAACCTAAGGGTTAATGACCTTAACAGTAATGGGAGTTGCAAGAGGTTACTGTAGTTCATGAACGTGACTTCACTAATATTCCATTGCAAGACGGAACGATTTAAGATTGTAAAGTATGACGTCGTTCATTATCTGTGATTATGAAATCCCCACTTTAATTGTTACATTCATAGTTTAGACGTCCATTGGACCTTGAAACGAACATAAATTAATTACATAAGTCCCTTGGTTTTACACATAATGGATATCTTTTTTAAAAAGCAAGATTACGTAAAGTAAGCTTTACGAAAAGCTATCAAAACAATCTAACTTGTGGCTTCTGTAGTGTTGCGAATATCCTCTGGTGGCGGTTATCTCTCGCCATCTGATATCAGTCGATTGTTGCGACCGCCTTAATAAAGGTTTAAACTTTACAAAGTTAGATTGTTAATAAGAAGATCATTCGATTCCTGGTCACGGGACCGTGGTAGAGTTATGCTGCGGCTGCTTCTTGAAAGCTGAAGTGTTGGTCAACAACAGCTGCAAAATGTAGCTGACACAGTTGGATGTTGGCCTCACATAAACAAGGATTTGTTTTTAATTTAATCCGATGAGCGAAGTACACAGAGCTCTCAAGTATTGTCCACATACCTGCTGCCGCTATAAGCTGCGGTGATATCGTTATTTCACTATTAGTACCGTATATGTTTAGCCATAAGGGTATAAAACAGTTGCAACTATCGCCTTCGCAAACAAAATTCGCTCTCTAACTCCGATTCGACAACACTAAATATCTGGCTATCTCACGAGTTCTACGTTCGATGAAACTGTAATAATTAACAGACTGAAAGCAAAAACATCAGTCAAAGTAATGTAAGAGGGCTTTACCATAAAATACGAGCCTAGCACAAACAACCTTCGGAGGCTGTCCAGCTAATTAGTTTGACCTTAAGCCACTCTGCGGCCCAAACTGGCATAGAATTTCGTCTCGTAAAATGGGTCGGCTAACCACAGGGCCGGCCCTCGGTTGATTGACAGGACCGCACGTACCAACCGGTAATAGCTGCGGGCGCGGGCCTGTACTTATCTAAGCTATACTTAGAAGCAATTCCGCGCCTAAGTGACGGTCATTAATGTTCCGGTTCTGGGCTCTAAGTAGAAATAACTTAACCGCACACGGACCCCTAATCACGTAATTCCAGTTATTATACGTTTTTCGATTGAATACAGGGACCAACTCAGGTTGATTTTACTAGTCTGTCTTGGGGTCGGTAATTATTTTGTTTTCCTCAACAGTCAAAAATTTAAATACGATATATGATATCTTCTAAAATAATGACAAAATTTTAGTCATAACGTTGTATACGTATATATAATATAAATAAATTTTCAAATTATTAAATAAAGTAATAATTTATACTTAACACACATAGATAAATCTTCCCTTGCATTCTTAAGATACATAAAATAAACGGTTACTTTTTCCATTGCTTAGAATTTCTTAAATGCGTTGGTTTTAGAAAAGTTGAAGTAATTATTAATTTTATTATTTCAGCTTTTCTAAAATATTGTGTACATGTTATACTTTGATTTTAAATCCATTTTTTGGCAAAAAATTCAAACCGACTATAAAAAAGACTGTTACTGAAACGAAAACAAGACGAATCGCTAAAAAAATAAAAATTCTTCTCTACTCATTTACGTAATGTAAAGTATGCGGAACGACGTCATTTACGTAATGTAAATTAAAAAACCGCGATAAAACAAGTAACTTAGTTTTACTAAAAAGGAATAGCTTAGTCATTAGTTACTTATTAGTTCCGCCGAGTCCGCCCCTGTGCGGGAAGTCGTTTTGCGCCCCAATAACTTAACGAGCGGTGCATCAACGAGGCGCCAAAGATCGTTCCTAGATTCGATACGATGTCGATGTCTTGCAATTTTGACCGGGCCTGATTATAGGTGTGTTGGCCGCTTAATAACGCCAGTGTTCGATCTCAGATTAAAGGCCCATTTACACGATGCCATTTTCTTGTACATGCAAGAGCAATAATTGAATGCAATAAATTGCGCGCAATAATTGGTTAGACCATTTGTTGTTTAGACCATGCAACTTATTTATTGCTTCAATTTAATTGTATACAACAGGCAAGAAACTGGCACCGTGTAAATGGGTCTTTATAGCGCTGGTCCACGTCAGCACAGGTTTTGCGTAAACAATACTTGGCTAAATGTTTCACTTTTGACTCAATGAAAGTTGACTCTCTTATGACTTTTCTAGACTGTGTTCCGTAATCCATTTAATCGATCAGCAATAGTGACAATCGAATCATTTCAAAATATATTTTTGTATTAAAAGTACTTCTACTTAAATTAAATAAACGGAGGGGTTAAACGCCGAATCATCTACTTAAACAGGATGCTTAGATTCTAGCCAGTATTGTTGCATTTCGCTATGTCGTCACAACTTCTACAACCTGACGTTGAAGTTAAACAATTTCGAACATAAAAATCGTGTATATGTTACATGCTAAATTAGAACACAGAGAACGGACAAGATGCGGATGTTTAGTGGCTATAACGTTCGACGAGTTATAATTGTATTAAAATATATTGAAACTAAAAATTATGTGTGTTGTGCTTGAGGATAGATTGGTCTGTTGGCCATAGATAATGCGAGTAAAACGGACCGACCAAACACCAATTAGCCAATTAATGTATCGTAAGAATTGAACACTATTGGCGCCCATAAATCCCTTTATAATTGGGATTGCTTAACGCTGAGGCCGCACTGCGTATTCGCCAAATTAACGTGTCAAACATTTGACGAATGACCGGGCAATTTGTTGGCGCCAACGTTTGCCGAAGCGTCGAAATAATGAGCCTCTAAATTACCGTACCTGCCTCCCATTGTGTTAAATTCCTTTAGGTTTGGGCAAATGGCCATTAGAGACGCTTCCTGGGTGGGCAGGGTGAATGAAACTCTAACGCATCCGTGTTATTTCAACAAAACAAAGCACCTCTAGAATTGAAGGTGTTCTTTAGAGGATAAGCTGACGCTATTGTTTATTCAGTTCGAGTTTACGGATATCGATAGTAAAACGTTTAAAAAACAGATGGGGCTTTATAACAATACAGCCTTTAAAGATAATATGTAACTTTGAAGAAAAGATTGTTGTCAACATTTGAAGAGAGAATACAGACTTATCAGTCCACTTGTAATCTTTTTGAACTTAAAAAACATACCACAATACCTTAACAAACGTTGTTAATTCAAAGTACTCTTAGTAAGGTATATTTAACAGATTATAGGTAACCTTAATTCTTTTTCATTCAGTTACATAACGATCTATTGTTCTATTTTTTTAGTTTTTAGAAAAAAAAGTTTTTAGTGTGACTTATTCTGTTAAATTAAATAATTATTTAAAAAAAATATTTTCACCCTCATTGAATTATACTGATTCCTTGGCTAAGTATAAATTTCAATCAAAAGTGAACCATAGGATACATACAATATGATATTATATTCTACGCTTCACCACACCGTCACAGGGTATCGGCTAATTTCGAGTTCTAGCTGTGATTAAATGTGACGATGACTGTTAATAAACAATTAATAGTCAAGTTAGGTCTTTGGGTGAAAATCTTGCTAATCACATTCGTATCAATTTCTCACAGTCAGCGACAACGAAAGTGCTTATAAGGATTTTCGTCTTATGTAAGAATATTTAAAAGTAGTAAATCGCGTAAAATGAGTTGCATAATTTCGCTTTTATAAAACATAAGATATTCAGTTGGATGCCTTCAGAAATCTTAAACAATTATCGTCATATTTCAACCAATTAACACAAAACATTATTTAAATATACATATAAACCTTCCTCTAGAATCACTATCCCCCAGTTATATTACACAGTTATCTCCACAAACTAGTAAGAAGAAATTTTCGCGTTGTATATTAAATAACGTGTAAGCAAAAATCCATTCACAATATTCTAAATCTCCTCCTCATAAATTTCTGTTACCGCCTATAAGTGCACACAAAAAGCAAATCGTAAAGACGCCGACTTTAAAATTCCGATAACAAGTGTCTACTAATTCTCATGCGGCGAGTAACTCCTATTACATCTATCACATATAATTGCAAACAGTCGTGATCAGCTATTGAGGTTCGTTGGCTCCAGACTGGGTTTGAATTTCAAAAGCATCATTTTTTTATTTGTATCAAAAATGACTTTTACTCTACTATAAGATTTCATTGCGTTTATCATTCAACATGTTATGTATACACATTAACCAGAACAAATGGACCATGCAGGCTGATTCCCTAAGGAATTCACTGTCGTTGTTTCCCTATTCGTTAATCTAAACAAGTACGGGATGTACTTCAATGAGTTACAAGATACTATCATATACTATTTTTACAGGATATTTGTCTGCGTGACCGATCGAAATATTATTAGTAAAAATAAATATTTTCAGATAAATTTTTTACACAACGTTCCCTAGTCCCAAGCTAAGCAACGCTTTTAATATGGGTGCTACAAAACATACTTTTTTTTTGTAAATAAATAAACTTTATACATATATAAACACCCAGACACTGGAAAAACACGATGTTCATCACACAATATTTTTCCAGTAGTGGGTATAGAACCCACAACCTCTGGCGCAAGAGGCAGGTTCACTACTCCACACGCCAATCGGATCGTCAAATTTATAATATATTGTGTGAATATTTTTTATATTAATGTTACCCAGTAAATAACAATTAATAGACTCGCAAGCTATTGTGAAGCTGACGTGTCATAAGAAGCCACAGAGCAGAGACACAGGATCACGATTTCTTCTTGCGCCGAACGGCGTGCGTTTGAAGGTTCAATAATACCACAATGGCGTGTCGGGGGCCCTCGAG